TTAAAAACCTTATTTGTCTTTTTTTCTAATTAAATCCGTGAGAATTCTCTGCTTGCCTGCGGGCTCCGCGCGTTACGATCACCCCGCTTAGCGACACCGCCAGCGGCCCTGGGAGCTGCGTTTGGGCATCGGGTTCCTCTCAGGTTGGGTTTATGGGGGAAGCTGAGAAATTCCGGCGCTTGGGGAAACGTTTAATGCCTCTTCATGTAAAATTGTATGATTTTTAGGCTTCTCGGACCGCCGAGGGTCTATTGGAGCTGCGCCTTGGCAGACAAACGTGCCCTCGTGCCTCAGGCGCCCGGCGGGCTCCCGCCGCGCCGCTGCTGTGCCGGGGTGCAGGGTCCCCTCTCCGGCATGCGCTTCCAGCCTGGTAGATAGATGCAAACCTTGGAAAGGAAAATAAAGGGTGGTGAAGAAACGTGGCAGCAGTTGAAAAACACCGCCTGGAAATCCAGAGTTCAACTTCTTGTGGCCTGTTTTTATCTTTTCCTCGGGATCCTTTTAGTGTGACCGAGTCTTTCCTGCGTTTAAGACCGAGGGGAACGGTTTTGTCGAGCGCGCAGCGCAAAAAGACTGTAGTTTTTTGACTTCAAGATGGCGTTCGAGAACTTTGCTCTAGGTTTTTCTCAGGCTGAGGTTTGCTCTTTCTCTGTGGGATTTGCTTTGTGTTTAGAGGAAGAAAACAAAAAGGGCTCCCCGAGCGAGCAGCCTCTGGGAGATTTTTGACAGCGTCCTCTCACTGCCTGCCTGGGCCGGGAGCGTGTACAGAGGCGTGCCCTTGCTCCGAGCTCAGCTGCGCACGTGGTTTGATGGAGAAAGCGGGGTCGAAGAGCTGCTTTGGGGAGGAGGAATCTCCCTGCTGAATGGCAAAGGAACACTGAAATTCTGTCTTGGCCTGCCATTTACTCTCCCCTTACCTTGTTAGGTAGATATTTTCTTTTCTCGAGGGTGTGTAGTGATAGGACAAGGGGGAACGGCTCTAAACTAAAAGAGGGCAGATTTAGATCAGATATGAGGAAGAAATTCTTCCCCATGAGGGTGGTGAGGCCCTGGCCCAGGCTGCCCAGAGAAGCTGTGGCTGCCCCCTCCCTGGCAGTGCTCAAGGCCAGGTTGGATGGAGCTCTGAGCACCCTGGGCTGGGGCAGGATGTCCCGGCTCATGGCAGGGGGGTTGGAACCAGATGAGCTTTAAGGTCCCTGCCAACCCAAACCATTCTATGATTCTATAAAACGAGGGAAGCCATTTTCGTGGTTTGAGAAGCGCTGCGTGAAACCAGAATCGCAGCTGATGTGTTGGACCACGTGAAGTTTTGTTGGAAATCTGGACCACGTTCTGACTGGGCTGTCATTTGACGCAAGGAAAGATATTCCTTTTGAATCACTGTGGTTTGTTCCGTCAGATTTCACGTAGAATTAGAATACTGCTCACTGCGATCTTCCAAGCAGACAAGTATATCTGGGAAGGATGCAAAACCGCGACCCGGTTTGGGGGTTTCTTCTTTAAAATAAAACTCTGTAGTTGCTTGGCGGCAGGAGTTCGTGTTAGGTTAAGAAAGAATAAGTAACGAGTTGTATCTGCCTTCTGCTGAAGCCGAGCGTCAGGCTGGCAAGGCCGTGTCTGGTGTATGACCCTCCACAGATATAAGCAGAGTGTGCTTACCAGCGGGGAGAGGGAACGGCCCCGAGGCAGGCCGCGTTCTGCTGGTGTGGCAGCTTGTGGAGCGCCCGGGCTCAGCACGCAGGACCCGGCACAGCTCTGCTGCGCGTGGAGCTGGCTGGACCCGAGGGCTGAGTTCCTTTTGGGAAACGCTTCCAACCTTTGTGGGCTAAAGAGACGAAAAGACTAGCAGAAAAAAGCGATCTGTGATAGTGTTGAGGGAAGAAGTGGGTTTATAATCATGTCAGCGTGATTTGCCCACTGGAGTACAATCCACTTTCATGCTTTATTAATTATCAAGTATTAAAGCAATTACAACCCTGAGATGTGGGAGTTTTATCTCGGGTAGCACAGAGACAGCAGTAATTTTGTCTTCTCCTTCAACAGCCTGTAACAGCTCTTGCCCCTTGTGCTCTTGAGAGCCTTTACAGCTGGGCCCGGGTCATTTCGCACAGATTCCTAAAACTGCTTGAAAAGAAGCCGGCATTAGCTCTGAGCTTGGGGTGGAATCAAAGACCTGCAGCTCGTTGCTGTCGAGTCATCCGTCAAAGTCAGGCGCCGGGTTGGGAAATCGGCTTTTCCTGGGTTACAAAATCGGTTCTGCAGCAGTTCCAGGAGGAGGAAGTCGCTCCGGAATACACCGGTGTATTCATCTTCAGAGGATAATGGTGTGACTGAGAGAGTGCAGGGGTTTATTTCTGGAAAGAATGCCACTGAAAAACTGGTTTACGTAGCTCAGCTCGCTGCACGGAGAAGTCCTGTGGTTCTGGCAAGGGCCAAATGTGGGGAACAGAAGGATGGTGCTTCTTCGGCGCATCTGCGGAGGAAGTACGTGTGCGTTGCGTTTCGCTGGCTTGCTTGGGAAGAGGGAAAATTCCTGTCTCTTACGGAAGCAGGGATCCCGGAAAACTTCTCTTAAGGACCAGTTTTACAGAATTGCTTTTCCCTTGCGTTTCTCCCTCTCGTTAAATAATCCTGCTCTGACCAAAGGGTCTGGGAAGGCTTTGGAAGTCTGACGTAGCCCAGGAAATACCCACTTTGCCAAAAACCAAGCGACCGGTATTTGGTAAGCTGTATCCATCCAGTGCTTATCCGGGCTGAGGACCGCTCTGGGTTGGCTGGGTCCCACCGTGTAGGGGACAGCTCAGTTGATCAGAACTTGGGGGCAGATTTATGGTCTTCACAGAATCACAGAATAGAAGAAGTTCCTCCTCATGTTCAGACGGAACTTCCTGTGCCTCAGTTTGTGCCCATTGCCCCTTGTCCTGTCACTGGGCACCACTGAAAAGAGCTTGGCCCCATCCTCCTGACACCCACCCTTCAGATATTTGTAGGCATTTATAAGGTCCCCTCGCAGCCTTCTCTTCTTCAGGCTGAACAAGCCCAGTTCCCTCAACCTCTCCTCGTAGTGGAGATGCTCCAGTCCCCTCACCATCCTTGTAGCCCTCCGCTGGACTCTCTCCAGTAGCTCTTCATCCTTCTTGAACTGGGGAGCCCAGAACTGGACACAGTACTCCAGATGAGGCCTCACCAGGGTAGTGTAGAGGGGAAGGAGAACCTCCCTTGTCCTGCTGGCCACACTCTTCTTGATGCACCCCAGGATCCCATTGGCCTTCTTGGCAGCCAGGGCACACTGCTGGCTCATGGTTAACCTGTCGTCCACCAGGACACCCAGGTCCCTCTCTGCTCTCCAGCAGGTCCACCCCAAGCCTGTACTGGTGCATGAGGTTGTTCCTCCCCAGGTGCAGGACCCTGCACTTGCCCTTGTTGAACCTCATCAGGTTCCTCTCTGCCCAGCTCTCCAGCCTATCCAGGTCACGCTGAATGGCAGCACAGCCTTCTGGTGTATCTACCACACCTCCCAGTTTGGTGTCGTCAGCAAACTTGCTGAGGGTACATTCTAACTCTTCATCCAGGTCGTTGATGAAGAAGTTAAACAAGACTGGGCCCAGTACTGACCCCTGAGGGACACCACTTGTCACCAGCCTCCAACTAGACTCAGCGCCGCTGATGACAACCCTCTGAGTTCTGCCATTCAGCCAGTTCTCTATCCACTTCACCGACCACTCATCCAGCCCACACTTCCTCAGCTTCCCCAGGAGGATATCATGGGAGATATCCTGGAGTCCTGCCAAAATATTATTTTGGGGATTGATGTTTTCCCCCTACTTTTGAAGCAAGTGAAATTTTCTTCCGGGTCTGCCCAAAAACTGATTTCATTTTTTACCCCCTTTCACTGATCAGATATTTTATGGCTTTAGTCTCTTGGTCGGGACGAAGGTGGCCTTGTTTTCTGTTTGCTCAAAGCCTCTTCCTTTCTTTCTGCATTCAGCTGTGCTGCATGCCCGCTGCTACTCTCACGGGTCGCAAGAATCAGATGAAGAATTTGATGCTCGCTGGGTGACGTATTTCAACAAGCCAGATATCGATGCCTGGGAGCTCAGGAAAGGTATGTTGGGTGAAAGGGGAGGGGTGACACGGAGTAAATGTAACTGCTTTGTGATAGTTTTGTGACTAGAAGTAACAACTTATTTTTACTTTGCTGTTGGAGAGCGGAAATAGTGAAAACTGGGGGTTTGGTGTTAGGGGAGCAATCCTTTAAATCCCCAGCTGGGGCAAGGCACTGTGTGAGCCTTGCTTTGTCTGCTCCGAGTCCCCTGGCTGCTCAGCGTGTGCCTGGCGTTGGCTCATTGCTGCTGGCTGGGCTGCCAGCCTGCTGCAGCAGGCGGTGGCACCTCAGCAGCCAGGCGGGCGGGCTGGAAGGGGCCATGGCGTGCAGAAGGAGGGAGAGTGGGGGCTCAAGGTGGCGGGAGTCCAGGCTTTGTGTATTTTAGTGCCACAGAATACGTGTTTTAACACCTGGGTGGGAGGGAGAGTGCTCTAAAGAAAGCGTATTTGACCTCAACTGTTGCTTAGTGAATAACCACACACTTTTTTTTTTTTTTTTTTTTTTTTTGACTTAATGGCTTGGCCATAACTCACTGTAGACTGGTTGTCTTCAGTTGTTACTTGCCATGGAGTTGCCAGCTGCTATTGAACTGCCCCAGTTAGAGCTTATAAACGTGTTTGCAGAGCAGCCAGAGGGATCGTTCCTGCATCAGCTGGGTGGTTCGGTGTTGGGCTCTTCCCTTGGAAAGGAGAGGAAGGGGGTGGGCAGCAGCTTGAGTTCCAGCTTCGTTCCACCAATAGGGGTGAAGTCGTTTGGATGTCTTAATGATTCTGTAACTGATGTGCCGCGGTACAGACCTTTGGGGAGCATGGATGAAACTGGCCCACTGGGATTTCATTAAATCCACTGAAAAATCTTAAAATTTACGGTAGTCAGCAACAATGAGAGGGAGAAGAGCGAAAGAAAGCCCTTGGCTGTGTGTATCTGTCCCCAAAATAGCAGTGAAAATTGTGATCAGCTCAGCTGCTCATGGCGACTGGAGTTGTGGTAATAGTTAATTCTTTCCTGAGGTGGAGTGAAATAATGCCCAGCGGGTTCCTTTCGGTACCGCCATGAGCTGATGCCAAGTTCCTCTCAGTGTTTCCTTATATTCACAGGCATAAACACGCTTGTGGGTTATGACCTGGTTCCGGAACCAAAAATCATCGACGCGGCTCTGAGGGCGTGCCGACGGTTAAATGACTTTGCCAGTGCTGTCCGCATCTTGGAAGTCGTAAAGGTGAGTGGAACGGCAGCCCAGGGCATAGCTGTGGTGTTCACGTTTCTCTCGAGAAAAGAGAGTTTTTCTTGGCGGACTGGTAGCGGCGCGGAGGGGAAACGCGCTGCTTCCTGCTGCCAGAATCAATAGCTGCGTTGTGACCACGTGCTCGGCGGCCTGAAATAATCGTTTTGAGGTAAAAGCACTCAGCAGCGCAGCTTCGCGAGTGCGGCGTCCTTACTTTTCTATTTTCCTTTTCCGATGCTGACTCCGGTGGGAAAGCCTTTCAGGTTTTTTCTTCCTTTTTCTTGTTTTAAAATAAGAATTACTAGCAATATCTCAAGCGAAGGCGGCTTACTGGCTTCTTAAAGGGCCGAATACTGATGAAAAACCCGTGAAACCCGGGTGCAGCCTTCGCTTACCAGGGAGTTCAAACGGGTGGGGATGGAGGCAGGAGTGCTCCTATTCCAGGCGTAGAGGCCAGCAGCTGTGCTCTTCCAGCTGGTTTTTGCCACAGCTGGGGAGTGCTGGCATGGTGGTCTTTGCTGCTAGCTGTTAAATCTACTTGCTTCAAACTGTGCTGTGCAACCAGTTGCTTCCCGGTGTGCTGCTTCTGCGTTCTGCAGAACTGAAACTCTTTTCAGTGGTTTTAGAGACATGAGACCAAGAGAAGAATCTTTATGCGTTTCCCTCATCTGTTTTTTTCTTGTCTGGGCCCCCACCGTGTAGGGGACAGCTCAGTTGATCAGAACTTGGGGGCAGATTTATGGTCTTCCTGGAGTCCTGTCGAAATATTATTTTGGGGAGTGGTGTTTTCCCCCCTTTCACTGATCAGATATTATTTTCATTCCGTTTCCTAAAGTGTGAGCGGTCTCTGGGCTGATTCGCAAAGCATCCTTGTGTGAGGAGCTTGGCTTGGCCCTTAGCTTTGTGTGGTGCGACGTGCCCGTCATGGGTTGTGTTGGGCTGATGTTACGTGAGGGAGAGGCGTCAAGCGTTACGGATGACCTGCAGATCCCCTGGAGGGAGGTTCAGCGTTGTTCTGGGGTGCTTTGCAGGCACGGTGGGTGGGTAGGAGTACAACAAGCCTCGTTTACCTGGTGTGCAGATGAAGCTGGGCTGTGCTCTCCTCTCCCGCAGGAGCTACTGTCATGAGCAATCGGTGGATCAGGCCGTGCAGCCTCTTGCGAACACACGTCGTGGCTGCAGACCTGGCTGGGGTACGGTGGAGCTCGACAGCTTGCCGTTGGAATAATGCCATTCCTTTTCGTTTAGGACAAGGCCGGACCTCACAAGGAAATCTATCCTTACGTTATCCAGGAACTTAGACCAACTTTGAGTGAACTGGGAATCTCCACTCCGGAGGAACTGGGCCTGGACAAAGCATAAACCTTATTGGTAAGGGATGCCGTTGCTTCCGAGCCCCTTGGCGTGGTACTCCCCTGCCCTGGAACCCTCCTGGCAGAGACGGAGTCCTCTTCCTTGTCTTCGAGGGTCTTGCGAAGTTCTTGTAATGTGATTCTCCAAACGCCTCTATAACTCCAGGTCTCCTAGGAAAGGTAGTAACCCTTTTCAAAGGAGCCTTAATAAAAGAACGGCGCAGTTGCTTGGGAAGGGGTAGGGGGGGATGGCAACTGTACCAAACCTCCCAGAAATTTCCCAGTAGCAGTTGCCAAGACAGCGAGCCTTGCAGCACTTTGTTGGCGGCGTGTCCACCTCTGCTCCTCATCAGCTTGTTCCCCCAGAAGCATTTTTAGCAAATGTCGGGGTCATTGCCTCTGGAAATGCACAAACTTTCGTTTTATTGCCACAGTCTGTAGCCAGTTTAGACAACTGGGAGACACTGGTTACTACTTTATGCTTGAAAACGGGCCCTGCTGATGACAGCCACCCAACAACACCGAAGGTTCCTCATGTTACACTTAAAACAGCGTCTTTTTCTGTCGTCAGTTGCTGATTTGGAGAGCCCCTTGCTCACAGAATAAAGAGACCAGCTGCAGCAGAGCCGGAGCTGAACGGCTCTGCGTGCAGAGCGCTGGTGAGCTGCAGGAGTGGATTATGGGAGCGGTGCAGGCAGCGCTCCGTCCCGACTGCCGCGCCCTCGGGGCTCGGAAAGCCGCTTGTCTTACTGGCTTTCTAGAGCTGAACTTGTGAGTAATTTCTAAATTTGAAAAGAACTGTAACTAAGACGTCTAAATCTCCATCGTAAATAGCGGGCCTCTCGCATGAGCTGCGGCGTACGGAGGTGTTGTTACTAAACAGCAGCTTCTCTGATTAATGAGGATCTGTCATTAAGTGTAGGCAAGGCCTGGCATGCTCCGATCCCAGGCTAAAACGAAGCCCGGAATGCAAATCCTGGTGGAAGCGAAGCTACGTCCAGGCAGTCTCTTCACTCGGTCCCTGTGGGAGATGGCTGGTGTCGTATTCCAGCCTTTTTTTAGTATTGTGCTTAGAATAGAGCTATGGGGTGTCAGGCTGCAAATAGCACTTAGTTCTGGATCTGTAAGTCCCTGCCCTTCTCGCCCCGGGATAGGAAGTCGGGAACACCAGCGCTCCAGTTGAAAGCTGCGTGTGGTTAAATCACAGAATCCCAGCATGGCAGGGGTTGGAAGGGACCTCTGTGGGTCACCCAGCCCAACCCCCTGCCGAAG